TTTTTTTAAATTTTATTTATTTAATTTATATTCAAATACTTTGAGCGATTATTTACAATTGCAATTGCATTAATTACTTCTTAAGATACAATCAATATTACACAGCGTAAGATTTAATGTCATCAAAAATAATTGAACTAAAAATAAATTAAATAAATTGTATATGTATTAGCATAGATCAATTAAATTAACTAATATCATTAAAGACGAATAGCTAGACAATGAATTTTCTTTAAGAACACCTTTAGTTGAATAACTTTTTTGGTTGCTAATTGACTAAGTACGGTTGCAATGTATGATTACGAAAACTTAAAAAAGTGGCTACACAAATTTAATACTTTTAATTATTCAATTTCAAAATTAGTAAATTTTTACTTTTTCAACTGCACTCAACATAAAAATATGTTTTACTTATTGCAACATTTCACTGGTTCTTACATTTCTAACTATGGATGATCGCCGCTGCTTCTATGTATTGCTGCCCCTTGGAACATTTACCTCGGCACCAAATCAATGTAACTATTTGGACGCATCATTTGATGCGGTGAACCATAGAATGACTGATAGCTGCTGATATTATAAGCGTTTGCCGCTGCTGAAGCCATCGCCGTGGGACTGCCAGCCGCAGCGGCTGATGCCTGACGCATATGACCGGTTACCTTCAGCTTATCATAGGGACTTGCATAGCTGCTGTGATAGTGCTGATGATGATAGATGGCGCCAAAATTGCTATTCTCGCTAGCATATGGCTGACCAATTGTCGAGTAAATATTTGCGGCCATCATTTGTGAGTGAGAAGGAGGCACATGCGACTGTGACACTGCCGTCGGCATCATTTGACTTTGAGCAGCGGCGCTGAGATTCATATTCAAGTGTGAGTGATGTGTGTGGGCGTGCGTATGGGGCGGCATTAGGCTGGCAGCATTTGTGCCACTACTATCGCCATTGTGTGCGGCCAGTGTGACATGGCTGTAGGGGCTGGGAATATTACCGCTGGCAGCGGCATTCGCGGTAGATGTGCCTGGCATAACTGTTGCTGTTGCTGTATGTTCAACTTTCGGTGAGATACTGTGACTGTGGCTGTGGCTGTGGTGATGAGGATGAGGATGATGGCTATTGGTTGGAGGAGGTATTAAACCGTTACTGGTCATATGACCAGTAATGCTGCTGCTGCTGACGCCACTGGAAAGGCACTGTTGGTAGTTAAGCAACTCGGGTGATGTATTGGTGGTGTTTGTGGCGACTGGTGCGACTGGTGCGCTCGGTGAATCGGTTACTGGTTGAATCACATGTGCTGAGATCAATGCGTTCTGATGATTTTCCAATTCAGCTACTGCTGCAAAGAAGGGGGAAATTGAGAAAAAAAAGAGAGGATAAAATTAATTATG